AGACGGAGGAGTGGTTAAGGCCTAAGATTGATTAGTCGAATGAAAGATAGAATAAAGACGTCCAGTTACCAGGGCAAGGTAAGAGTGATACCGGATTCTTCCTGAACACATAAGTCAGGTTTCAGGCGATTGATAGTTGTTGATTCGGCAAACTTGAGGAGAATTGAGCAATTTTGTCTATTGATAATTTTAACGGATTTTGCGATGGCCACCTCATGACTCGTATCGATAAGATGTTTGGCAATGGCACTGTTGTAAGCATTTGCTCCTTTGAGACGTAGATATCATTTGATGTAACCACCTTGTTAACAAGGATCTTAATCAATGAGACTATCGATAACGTTTGTCAACATTCAGAACGTCTCCCACTCCCAGTCTCGGAATTTAACGGCCTACTGCTAATGTGTAGCATGGATGTACAATTCCAACTTAACAACACTCTTCATTGCCAAACAGATGGTGTAACTGATCGTTTCCTGAATGAAATGAGCTTCCGCACGACGCCTGAGAATACAATGTGCAACGAATATAATGAAAACGCCTTCACCATATCTACATTTATACCCTCGAAATAGCATCTCCATCGATGATGACTTGCTGAAATTTCCAGTTTTGAAAATCAGCATAGCAATCATCTTTCTGTCTATAACCATGCATTTAAAACAACAATGAAGACTGTTGAAACCTGTTGTTATTTCGACGTCTTTTCCTACTTCTGCGACGGAGATTAAAGCCACTAACGTAGCTGAAATCCATTTATTTAATCTTTGGTTTACAAATCCGGTGCGCAAAACATTTTCCATCTTCATGAATAATTCCCCAGATAATTCATGGAAGTAGCAAAGTTTACTTGAGCTACCATAAATGTGGAAGATTTCACTCAAATGTGGGGCATCTATCCTGCCTCTTGTGAATCACAACTGCTGATAAGCAGGCTTTGAAATGGACAGACCACTGTAATTCCACTCCAAGTGAACACTGATTGATGATTTACAATGCTAACATCCACTCAGTCTTACTGAACACCTCTTCTGAATGGACAACTGATATGTCAATTATTTTGAACAATTTAATCAGGTTTCTTTAATTTGTATAAGGTTCACACCGATCACATAGTTAATGATGACTAAGCAGCCATCACACAGTCATTTTCTTTCATTTACTCTAATCCTGACCATAGCGATTCAAACAGATTCTAAAAGTTACTCATTTACCTCATATTGACATTATCATAATTTGGTTATGCTGTCTGAAAATGAACTCCACACTAAATTAAACGTAACGTTATCGGCTTACTAATAGTTTTCAAGTAATATAAAATTGTTGGGTATATTTCAATAAATCTCATTGTTTCTGTCTCACACACAGTTTCCCCATTCTTTCCCAAATCAGTGGATTTAGGTAGTGATTTCCGTTGCTGTTCACCACTGTCTTTGGACTCGATTGAAGGTGTCTGTCTGTTCAGTAATACTCTCCAGAATTATGTTAGGGACTTAAAGACACGGGCTCCAGTTGCTTATATTGTACCGGTTGGAGGGGAATGTCTTCTTGCCTTTACTGATGTCATCATTAATTGGTCTCACCTATAACAGTGGGTCTTATACGTACCCCCTGCTATATCTGTTGATCAGTCGTCTACTTCCTGCATAACAGTTTGAGTGAAATAAAGAGGATGTGTAGTAGGATCTTTCAGACTGCCGAAAACGTTAAAAATATGCACATAGATTGTGAAACTTTTTTGATAACCAGTAAACACATGTGAATCTCGAATTCCCAATATGAAACCCTTTTAATCCCTGGCTACCGTTTGTTTCTAGTACTTTAATAAATCAAAGTTATTTTCATACTACGGAAATTTTACTTCATCGGTTCAGTGAAAATTCAATGAAACACCACATAGAATTCTCTTGTTGTATAATTATCTCAACGCGGTAAGATCCCATCCAGTATGATAACTACTTCATATAGACGAATGAATTCTGAATATTTAGCATATGCATGAAATAACTTATACACCCAGAAGTTTTTCTACATTTGTATGTAACAGGAACTGACTTCATTAGCCCAGGCAGGTGAACAACAGTCAGAAATTGCATCCCAAGACTTTAACTGTTTGGACAAATGCTGGCACAAAGTAAATGAGCTGAAAACTGCTGGAATTTTCCGTCATTTACAAATGAACTACTCTACAGCAGTGAAAGTTCGTATTTGTCGTTGGCTGGCCTTGAATAATGTAGCCCACCTAGCATTCCTTTCCTCAATGTGACCTTGTTCAGTAATATGTTCACGGTATGAGTAGGGTTATTGAGTCGGAGCCCTTATGCTGATTGTAGCTGTGTAAGCCTTATTAGGTTCATCGAAGTTGGTCGCTTTGAGCACGCTACACGCGTAGTAAGATAAGGAACACAACACTATAATGCAGGTAGCCGACAATAGGCAAGAAATTCTACTTGTTCAACTTTCACTTTAGTGTCAGTGTAATAATTTATCTATCGAGTCACCAATATCAGCCGAACGAGAAAAATGTAACTTAATTTGATTTTGCTTTTCCTTTACCCAGACATGATAGATTTTCCATTAAACTTCGGCTAAGTTGACAAGTTGCACAGTCGGTATTACCCATCTCCACACGAATAACTGAACAGACAAATACACATAGATAGAGCAAAACTACTTAACGTATCCTTCATTAGAGTCATTATCATTCGTCATATGGGAAATTACGGAAGATAAATAAGCACTGAACTAAAAGTTTTATACCCAGTTCAAATGTGATTGCTGTCTTCTTGCCTACTTAGTAGAACGTTGACATGCACGTTTACATCCTTTTGTCTGGAAGTGAAAATGGGTGAAGTGCATTATTGAGTTTCACTAAAAGTTCACTTGCATATGTTCTCATCATCAGTGTTTAGTCGACATGGTAATAACGCATATCAAACTCAATGATGACATCTTTCCAGTTAAACTTGTAATACAGAAAAGTGAACGAAGTCTACTAGGATCGGACATAACGCTGAGCAAATGTAGGTTGAATCCTCATTGTTATAATATACATAGTAACATGTACATTCACTGTACTTTTGACAGGCTATCTCTTGACACTAGACTCATGTTGATTTTGCTGTCAACCACCTATGGGTATCATAAATCGACTATTTACACCAGTGGTATGTTGGTGATTCATGTTGATGCATCCATGTACTCTTCATTCATATGTCTCTGTTACTTTAGAGAAAAAGTCAGAGACATCGTCTGCAACACATTTCGTCTACAGTTCTTAAGATTTGAGCTAACTGCTTTCCGATTCCACAGTGTACAGAATTGTACATATGCAAATCCGAAGGAAGAGAAATTCGCAGTTAGTACACTTCAGGAAGACCATATGGTCATAGTGTGTTAATTCCTGCTTCCTTCTTCATCTAAATATTCGAAATCATCAATTCTTTGGAATTCATTTTGGTATTGTAGAATGTATTCCACTTTTCATACGTAACCTTTCTTGTTCAATGAAACTATATTCCATCCTATGTCACTTTTGTTAGTAACCGTTCATGATTGAAAAACGCCTGTTATACGTTGTTATCTCTTGCTTTCAACATCCGATTCATAGTGGTAAAGTAGGACGCCCGGTCATTCCTACTGAATATGTTGGAGTGTTGATTCGATGAACAACGATTCAGTGTTCAACTCTTATTTCCATTTAGTTATCTTCACTGTTGGAACTTTATTACTATGCCAGTATGTTATGTGAGGAAACATTGGCTTTTGAAATTCTCTTCTGCTGAAATCTAAGCATTCTTCAACTCTATGTTCACTGATGGCTGTGTCAAGTTAAAGACTGTACAGTCACGCAGTTACTTCTACCTACAGTTAACCTTTTACATTCAAATCTATATTCGTATTGATTGACAACGTATCTGCATAGATTTTGCACAGAAGCGCAGCAGTTCGAGTCACCACATTGTCTCTGCAAAAACACGAAGACTTCAAAATAACTATAATGTGCAGAATTGTGCTGGAGAAAGAATACCACCATGGGAAAATATGAGAACGTAATGTATCTAGGAGATTACAATGAGTGAATGCATCTGCGCCATTGCGAACGGTTTGCAGTCAGTCATATCGCCAGTTGTCTACAGCCATCGACTCTCAGTATACCAGTCACCCAACCAAGCAGTTCAAACTTCACCAAGTGGCTCAAATCAAATGTCGAAGAAATAATGAATTGATGCCAGATTTTCACTTGACCAATCCTCGACATGCGCTATACACATCCTAGCCATCTCATTCACTGCTACTTCACAAAGCCACCAACTGACCTGCTCTTCTCACCCAACACTCGACGTCTAACCCCAATATTACACAACCTGTTATGCTGCCTAATACAGGAGATAGAACGCAATCATCTGTGGTTAAATACAACCAGCCTCTTCAAGACTTTCACTTTCAATGAACACATCTCACAGACATCAAGGAGGACAGAGTGAGCTACTGAGCAGTATACACGTCCTTTCATCGATACCTCGATATCATGTCTAACTCGGAGATGACCTTAGTTGCTAAATAACAAACAAACCATTTGTATACGTGCTGAGATCCCGTCAGCAGTCAGTCCATTAAGGCTGATGCCACTGTATGCGTATGGTTATACACACAACCAGAATGTGTAAATACGAACAGAAATTTCATGTTGCAAATATTCAAGTGACTACGTATCAGGAATCACATCGTAATATTACTGTTTTGTTCGATTTATTCCAATGTCCTAAGATTACCAACTTCAAAGATCAACTGCCATTTTAAATCCTGTTTGTAGTAGAAGGTGAATAATCACTTCAAACTTAGTTTAATTCAACCGATGGATAAAAGCAAAACACTATGATGCATAATTTTCACCCAGCTGCACTGACAACACAGACTGTTCAAACTTTTCTACAGCAAATAAAAATATCGAGAGAGAGAAAAGCACACAGGTGATAATCTTGTAAAAACTTTCTTTTTTCTTGTTGTTGTTGCTGTTGTTGTAGCGACAAATTGCATTTGCAATTGGAAGGCACACAGATATATATTCATAAGAAAAGAAAAATAATGACTTGGAAATAATAATAATAATAACAATAATAATAATAATAATAAAGAGGTTGAACTGAAATCAACACTATATCACATACAGCACAACATGAATAGTCAACCTTGAAATTCACTTGAAATCCTAAAGTTTTCTTCAGTAAGACGTGAAATAAAAAGGAGGAAAGTAGGACGCTTCTCAAAGTAGACAAAATATTAATTTCTATAGATATTCACATCTATGTTAATATGGAGAACCACAAAAGGGATTGCAGTGAAAGTCAACTCATACTTTGTAAAACCGTGGAAAAAATATCTGAAAACAGGCTAAATCCCTTCATAAAAATAGGGAAAGAAAGAGGTGAGAAACACAAAAGATTGAGCAATGTGTTTACATTCTCCTTAAGCGTATGATGTATATGCAATGCGCTAAATAAAAATACAAACCAAATCACCAGGAGAAAGGCACATAAAAATAATGATGATATTAGTAATAAGCTGATGCCCACACCAAGCATACACACACACGCACACAGGCACAATCACACACATTTGAACACTATTCATCATAAGGTTATTCTGGCTTATCAAGTAAAACAATACATGTGTATGTATATACAAAGAGTATATATTAGGGAGGACAAAATCACCTCTAACTCATTGTCCATGTGTCTCCAACGTTCACATTTAGATACATACATATATGCTTGTAATATTAAAAATCTTATCACAGATCAGAAGGGAAAACGAAGGCATGTAAGTAAGTAAGTAAGTGAGTAAGTAAGGCTGATATGTCGTTTCAGTGTATATACACACATATATAGCATGGATATATATGTATGCATATAGAAAATATATATATGCATATATATGAGTATACAAGGAGTATAAAAGAAGAATAACAATAGGAGAGTATCATTTGTTCACTTGTTCTGGAAGGAAAATATTTGCTTGATAGACAGCAGACCACGAAAGACATGTATATCATGAATACATTAGTATATATGTACTTATGCGCGAAAACGGGATGGATCTCAGAAGCATTCCACAGTAAGTTGAATCAAAATGATTCATTATTCTCTATAGATGGCAGATACGGCTTTCTACTGAATTTCCATTGTTGATTTACTGAACCAGTACATCTAGCAAGTCTTACTAAAGCAGTATTAGGTTTCATTTCTAAACACTGGCCTTGATGACGAATAGTGTTATCCTGTGAAATGAAAGGAAATTACAAAATGATGCAAATTCATGAATTCATTTATAAGAGGTTGGATATTAAACAGGACAGATTTAATGACAAATCAGTCTATTTCGCTAGCTACAAGCTTATGTTGGCGGTCTACTTAAATCTTGACTAATTTTCATTCATTCTTACTCTCTCCTCGTACATCTTTAGCCATGCTAGTCATATTACATTTGTTTAGCCTACATTTTATGCATACTCTTTCCAATGATGAACTCGTCACCTGAACTGAGGAAACTCTGTCCAATACAAATAAGTCAGACGGGACAACAATCACATCAATGTGTCACTATGTTTGCGAAGCTCAGCTTATTCTCATGATGATGTAATTTTATCCACTGAACAATAAAACCACAAGGTGAAAGAGGTCAAGTGAACTTACGAAACTAAGAGAATAAATACTTGACTTCGTTTAACACTGTGTGGAAAGCATACTACAGCAAAAAATGAACGTCTGAAGTTACATTTACACCTAACATATTTAAACTTTCCACTGATTCAATGAAGTTATCACATTACAGGCAACGATCGCCATTCGCTTATTTAAGCAGAATCATTTCAATTACAGGCAGCACTGATGCAGACAGCAGAGTAAACCACGATGGGAAAGACAATACAGAAATCCACTGATCTCAAACCAATATCAAATTCCGCTGTACTCAGCATAAAAATCAAGACTCGGATTTTCATCGCCAATGTTAAGTCAGTCATCCTATAAGACTCGGAGGTTTGGCGTGTCACGAATAACATTTCCAACAGGCTGCGAACTTTCGTCAACACCTGTCTGCACTCGGTCGATACTGAAGACCAAACGGACAACCAGTTAGAATACGCAACAAGGAATGATAGCATCGATCTAACAGACAACCTATAGCTTAACAAATATGCAAATATAAATTGATATGGATAGGACACACATCCTGGAGACCTTAAAGACACTTCCTGACTCAGATCCTCGAGTGGAACCGGAATAAGAAACAACGAGTTGAGTCGTGTCAGGAGGAGATGAGAGTCTATCGGCAATCGTAGAACAGGTTAAGGTGGACTGCAGAGATCTCGATAAAATGGACATCTGTTGCTGTAGTCCTATGTTCCACTAGGAAACTAATTCAGTAATAATGATAAACAATAACATTACTATACATATATTGGATTCATATTAAATGTCGTCTAAGGAAAGAGAACCTTACATTTTCATATGTAAACATTTGATTCCCGTGTGAACCATGACAATTTAACAAACCAATGCTTCCTTCCTTTACACCCGAGTCCCAACAATAATCATCTCGTCTAATCTCATTTTCAGGTGATAATAACCAGAACTAAAAACAATAAACAAAACAAACGAAAAAGTGATTAATTTCAAGAGGGTGAGATTTACTGTTTTGGGAGAAAACTGAACTTTCTGACTGACTTCCGATTTCGCATATATAACTTCAAAATACAAAGAGTAATACAATCCACAATATACAATGAGGATATGAATATTTGTTCACTAGTACTACTTATCATTATTAGGAGGTTACGTGTGAGTGTAAAATGTATCACACGAACACAACATATTAGAAGGTTGAATCAAATAAGGACTGAATGAATAACCCGAAATCTTGGTTTTCTTTTGTCATAACTCTACATACTACTGACTGGTTGACACGAGTAGTTGGATCTCACTCACATCAATCAGTAGAGCTTGTTAGCCAGATCGAAGTGAACTGAACAACGGACAATCGTATCCCTCGTTTGGGGCTGAGCTATCAGTAGTATATAGCGTCATACACACTTTTCTCGCGTTCATGATTGCTAATTGTAGGATCAAGACGATCACACATTGTGATTCAAATAATATTTTGCCTTTCAATGTAAACTTGCGGAGAAGATTCACCTTGAACTACATAAATTGCACACTACCAATTCATTATCACAACTGTGACTGATAACAGTACCATGTTAAGATGACGTTGCAATATGTCACAGTTTTCATCGAACAACACTTTGACGCTCACATACTCCATATTTATTAAGAAACGAGGGCTGAACGGATAAGGCTTCTGACTACGGATCAGAATATTACCGGTTCGAGTCTCGTCCGGATCGAGATTCATTTCTACCAAAAGTGTTGTTGGGAATGGAGCTATTATTACTACTACTATTATTATTAATCATAACCAGAGAGTGAAATGAAGAACGAGCAACTGAATCATTGGAAATTATATTTGAAAATTGTCCAGTATAACCACTTTCGTCGGCTATTTACGCCAAGCTTCATTAAAAATCAAAAGACTAAAGTGATTCTCTTCTACTCCAAGACTTCGTTTTACAAGGACAAGTGTAACATATACACACCAGAATAGTTCATAAAATGGAAAAACAACTCCTAGTAAGAAACTCAACAAATGGCACAAATTTCTCACAATCTATAAACTGCTCATATTTTTGACCACACGAAGCACCAATCACTCACTGTGCACTACTTTTTTCTACGACTAGTGAGTAGAATTTCTTTCCAGAATTTATTTTTTTAAGCTATGCTCTTCATTGAATGAATAGTTCTCAAAATAAAAAGAGAATTAGCTAACTCACTTGATTACCTCCTTGTTTATGACATGGCCATGTTTTAATAATCACTGTTTTACGATCTTTCTTATTCGGTATTGGTGCATCTAAGCACTGAGGAGCAGCAACATTTTCAATCTGTAATAAAAGTGCAAAAGGAAGAATATACGATAGTGATGAAGTACTAAGAGGAAAGGCAGTTATTTCTACGTTCAATCCGTTTGTTTTTCTAAATGCTTAAATGGGAAATTTGTACATCTACAATATTCTCATCGAGGTTAAATATGCTTATGTTTTTCAGTTGTGCGCATCCTTCTAAATTTAGCTGAGTTCTCGTGATTTCATAACATAAAAGCCTGTAATGAGTTAGTATTTCTACAGACATCAGATTACATTTCGTTGATTCTTATAGCGTCATGGTGACGTCTCTGAACGCAGCGTTAAACGAAGCGGATAAGAATCTCTTAAGGGGAATATGTATTAATACGCTGACGTCTGACCATAATTACGATACCTCGCTCCACAAGGTTGACTGTGTTCGGTCGACATGCAATAAGCATTTTTCCAATTCCGTTATCCGGTGAATGTTTTTCACGCATTAGGCTATTAGCCACATTTGGTGTGTGTGTGTGTGCAAGGGATTATGACACTGTTCATTTACCTAGAAAATATGTACATCAGGATTTTACATTACTTATAACAGTCAATCACCAGCTCAAAAAAAATAATAATAATCTGAACTCAAATATATGTGGGTATATCTTAAAGCTTTTTATTTATAGGTATATTTCTACTTATATATCTACACAATTTAAACACATATAAATCAGAGATATAGAAAAGAAAAACAATAAGAACACATATATATACAGGTCAATAACTAACAAAATAGACAAAGAAAAGACTGTCAATATTGCTAGGATTCGGTGATTAGAACTGAATACACACTAGAGTTCAATAATACAATATAACAGTAACGTCATATATACATATATATTTAAACTAGTGGATTTTGTACACTTAGCCTAATAAAACAATTATGTAGAGAATGCTTTAAAATAGACATATTAGATTAGTATACTAACATAATATCGACAATTAAATGTTTGCAAGTGAAGATAATTATTATAATAACAACAATAAATAGCTTTTAATCACCGCTAAAATAAAACGATAATGTTTACAAGAATTATGCTTGTATATGTATATACATAAACGCATTATATGCAGGGATAGAGCGATAATCGCACATACTGTGATCTGCTGGACTATGGAATTGTGAGAATGATCCTAGATTCAACGAACTACAAAGGCTAGTACATGCTATTTTTCAAGGTTAATACACAAACCAGAAAGGTGAGTAAAGACACCTAGTGTTACAGAGTGTAAAAATGACGCTGAGTAAGATGTCTGACAGACTGGTTTCAACGTAGGACTTTACACCGATGTGCATCAGTTCAAGTCGCCACACTCCCTCCTTGTAGCACACAAAGCAAGAGAAGAAAGTAAAAAAGAAATGCAAAACAGAGACAGTAAACAGAGATATGAGGCAAAAAGAATAGTAATATCGAAGAACAATATAGTTTTATTGGATATTATAAGTCACAAGGAGTGGATGCATCTGCGCCATTGAGAACGATTTTCAAACATATCGCCAACCGTCTCCAGCCTTTATCGGCTTTCACCGTCCCGATGACCCAAATCAAGCTGGTTCTCTACACTTCCTCATGTGGCTGGCTGGCTTAAACAAACTGTTGTGGATTTCATTTACTGAGGAAACCACGTTTTAGTTCGACCACCACTAGCCAACTCCTGATCCTATGTGAGCTTACATTGCCTATCGGTCGAGAAGGACGATGGATAAACATGCACAACCCAGTCCTAACCATTTCACTCACTCAATATAGCTTCACAGCCTCGTCGATTGATTTCCACTCCTTACCTAGCACTCAACGCCTAACCTCAATATCACTCACCTTATTATACTACTTCATACGGGAGATAGAATGCAGACACATATGATCAAAGACAGCTAACCTTTTCATGTCTGCAATATAGATAAGATTTTATTTTGATAAGTTACACAGTAATATTAACTGATGACGTTTCAAGCACAAATTATTGCTCATAATCATATGAAGATACTCAAACAACCTTTTGCTTCATTTATATACGTGTGGAATTGACCATATATTTGAATAAAAATCAATATGTGACAATGTACATTCAGAAATAATAATGATAATGTAGTGCACCACATGCATTAACACACAGCCACACAACAGGGTGGGAGAGGGTTAAGATTTTAAGAAGTAATCTATGTAGGTGGAGAGTGAGATTGATTACTGAATCCTGGTTCATTGAGTCTACACCCAACACATACAACAGAAATGACTCAATGCAAATACCAGAAATATCGAAGATATTATTACCGCCAGTCAAATCAGAAGAGGATAATAAATAATCTCAAAATTCTATTTCAATTCAAGCACATCACAATATTCTAACAAGTTACTTATTATGACTAAAAACACACTCGTCTTATTTCCCATCTGATTGTAATTGATCAATAACACTCATATTATTATTTCTGAATGTACATTATCACATATTGATTTTTATTCAAATATATGGTCAATTCCACACGTATATAAATGAAGCAAAAGGTTGTGTGAGTAGCTTCATATGATTATGAGCAATAATTTGTGCTTGAAACGTCATCAGTTAATATTACTGTGTAACACTGTGTAACTTATCAAAATAAAATCTTATCTATAATGGAGTTATACTCTACCACAGTGCCCAAGTTTTATACTTATATCAATTTTCATGTCTTCCACTTTCAATGGCCAGGTCTCACAGCCATAGAGGAGAACAGAGAGAAGTGATGAGCAGTACACACGCTCTTTGGTCGTTAACCAGATATCAGCTAGCAATCTAGCCTATATTGTTCTCCGAATTATGAGAAGAGTCAATAAACATCAGTTCTTTAAACCGCATTGTTCAACATGATCAATGGTCTATGCTCACTGGCTATAAGGTTTGTAAGTACAGATGCACCTCAAAAACAGTCCAACACACTTAGAAATTGACAATCTTGAAAAAGATATCCTTTCCTTTTGTTTTCATTCCTCTCTTTTGTAAAGATTATACCAACTGTGAAAAGTCGACTGCCAGTACACCTTTATCAGTCTTCAAGCCCCAACTAATCAACAATCACGTTTTTATCACTTTTCACACTTTTTATCTACAAATAAGTTTGCACAATGTTCAAATGATAACTAGAAATCACAGATTTCAACCTCTGCATCTAATATCAATGCCATAAAAACACAAGGAAACTCTTTACGTTTTGGCTTTTTAATGGGTAATTAAATATTAGACTTGTGCTAAAAGACTTCTCAATATTAAAAAACACAGATGCCAAAGAAGCTTTTTTATTCTTGCTGAGATTTCATCAGCGAACAGTTCATTAGCAGTGACACATTGTTTAGAATAAGTATACATTTGTCAATACATTCAATTTTAAAACCAGTTCTGGAAAATCAACCTACATTCGTTAAAAAAAGTGAATACAAGGAAAAAAATATTTCGATTGGTGATCAACGCTCACAGTAATAAACTACCATCTAGCACATTGATCAAAAGCATATATATGCCAGGTTACTTCTCAGTAGCTAATCACGCCGTCTAACAATAAATTGATTCATTTGTTTGCGTTCAAAGTGTTATATATACCTAGTTTTGCCTAATACCTTAAAATAACTATTTTAAGGAGTTATCTCACACGGACACGAGTCGTTTGTTTTTCCCTCTGTTTGGATTGCCAGATTCCTATTGGCTGTTAATACTGCATTTTCAAGGTCATTGTTACTGTATATATTCAGAGCTTCTGTTTAGCATTTTGACCGTTGTTTGAGACAGTAAAAGTTATCTTATCGACGTCCAGTCTTTATTTTATCTTTGTGTGCCAGAGGTGTTTTGTTGTTGTTGATGTTGTTGACGTACGATTAGGACAGATTAATCAGCCAGCGCATTAAGTTAATATTCGCTCATAGTCTACCAGGTCGTAGGTCCAGTCATAACAAAAAGGAACTTAGGGTTTCAAACTTTAGGCTTTGAAGTTTCAATAGCAATCGTGTTGTTTTTACAGGATTGCGTTGCTAGCCTCCCCCAAACTTCGCTCTTCACATGAGATTTAATACCACCTAAACACGATTTAAACCAGAAATCGAACCCAGCACCACACGTGCATTCACTTGGTGAACATTCTACCGTTGAACTATTGACGCCATTTACTAATGAATTTACAAATATATAAAATGAAACACTATGATTGAACACTAGTTACTGCCTACTGTACAATCAAAGTATCCAATACAGTCTTACAGAAAGTCAATCGCGAGCCCGAATAGCTCAGTGGTAACGTCTCTGACTGCCACCCTCACTAGGTGACGCGGGTTCGAATCTCAGTAGGGACATGAGTTCTTTCAAGGTTGCAGAAACGCCTTGCTGACTGGTGAGTGCCAACTAGCACGAAACCTATGTCAAGCAAGGCTTCCTGTGACCGATTGCCTCCAACTATCTAATATCATCAAATGAAACACTATGTTACATGCACATCACATATACACTGCAATAATAACATCGTAATAAGTGAACTGGAATAATTTTTCCCACTCAAAAAAATAGGAAACAGGAAAAACTACATTTCAACAGAAAACAAAATACACAGAAATCATGATTATTATTGCTATTGTTAATGTTCGACTATGTGAGTATTTCTGTTGTGAAAAGAGGAAAACCCTCAAATATGCATCTATCCTACACTTACAGTCTTGGGGAAAATCGAAAAATCTGATTAGTAAAACTTATTTTTTCTAAAAAATAAAACAGTTTGTTAAAATGTAAAAAAAACTGTTTATTATTCCAAAATATCATAACCATTAATGGGGTAACCATCAGAATGAGAGTTGCGTATGACCGTCATACAACAAGTCCAAAAACATAGTTGTGGGAAACCATATATATATAAACATTTAAATGATTGACTTCGCACACTAGAAAATACTCCCAGAAGTAACTGACTAACTAACTAACTAACTAACCAGCTAACAACAAGAACAACAAAAGTATGCAGGGTGTAGATTAGATGAATAGCGCCTAATAGCTGTATGCAACGCGTCTTCCTAAAACCACAAATGGCAATAACAACACAATATGACAGACTGTGCAGTTCACTAATGCTTAAAAATAAATGTTTGAAATGGAATAAAAATTTGTTCTCATTTGAGAAAAACAAATCACTAAATGAATCAATGAATGAATACACAGGAATAATTAAATAAATAAATAACTGAATTAGAGAGAAAAAAATCAATGTAACGCATAGAAATACACTCAGGAATTCAGCATTAGCAAACAAGACATAATATATGTGCAAGAGAGACATGAAATCGGTGCCATTCGAATTACTAACACGGTTACAGTTGTTTCAATAAGAAGTGAATGCATTTGTAGACTAACTAACAAGCCAGCAAGAGCACAGAATACATAAAATAAGATTACACAGAATTTCAGTTTGTTAAACTTAAGGACAAATGAATGAAGAATTAGCAACAACAAAGTGGAGAAGAAAAACAAGTAGTGGTAATTTCAGTGTGCATCAAAAAGAGCATGAAAAGCAAAATGCAAGGCATAGTAGCACCATTAGGACCTACCTTCCTATGGTTTGGGTGAGTAATATAACTATATTTGAAAAATTAGTAGTAGTCTTACGCAATCAAAGAAGGTTGACAAGTAATTAGATGAGTGATGAATAAAGAGTGCTATAATTGAACATATATTCAACACTAGTCACTCAATATGTAAGGAGAATTCATTCAAAGTCATCTACAAAGCCAAAAGAAGCCTCCGGAAAACCACAAGCTTCCGTGTACTTTGCATTGCCGAGGCCTTAACGATCCGGATAAAAAAAATCTGATTTATGTACACAGAAGAAACATCTCCATCCACTCCTTCTACCTTGGGTATTATTCCAAGTTCTACTACTTTGTTAATAAGGTTTTCTGAATTTTTGTATGACTTTCTAGTAAACAATTTTTATCAACCAACGCTTTATGTATTCTTCCTACCTATTAAATAATTTATTTTGGCCACTCGTCTCCATGCTCTTTCATTAAAACACTATATTTAAGGATGTCTTTCGTATTACGCAACCCTTGTCAATACTTACCAATCTTCACCCCCCCCCCTATTTACAATTTGATTATTCATCACACTTTTCAAACACTTTGATGATGCAAACAATAACCCTAACTAATTTTAATTTTTGTTTGACAATCCTAATACACATACAGACACAAAATAATTATATACAAATGCGATAGTGCAGCTAAGTGAATGAATTCGCCGAAAAGAGACTCTTCGCTGAAATTTTAGTTACCATGAATGATCATTTGGAAATGATTAAAAATGAATTGAGAAAAATATAGAGAGGACTGCACAGAGCTAATTATATGGTTATTCAGGAAGACAAAGAAGGAAAGAAAATCAGAGACAGAAAAAAATCTCGAGGACAAGATCACGATGTTGGCAACTTTAATGTGTATTCACCAATTCACCTGCTCATGTGGAGCTAAGCACATAGTTCATACCAGTAGGACATTGTCTAGACATGCTCATGAACACTTACCAGTATGGTTGGTGAAAGGATAATGTACAACAGTCAACAGCTGAATTGCGCAGCATATTTTTACTCCTGGTCATGCAGCATTAGCAGAGACTTCCGTAAAAGTCATATAAAAAGTACGACTAAGTCGTTCGAAAGCATTTCGTCTGCATTCTCATGCAGCTTAAGCCCTAGCAATCAATAAGGAGAAACCTGGACTTTTTGTTCAGAAAGGTTTCATCCAGCCTTTTTCACTTTTCACTGCCCTTAGTAGTGTTTTTTACTCTTCTCTAAGCAATCCGCCCTATCAATCTCTCAATTCATTTTCAGTCATTCTCTAATGATTATTCATCACTCAACTAATTACTTGTCAACAATTTTTTATTATTTTCAAGTATTGGTTTTGTAGGGATTTTGATTGATTGGTTGGAGGATTTCATCATAAGCTGACATCAGTTAGAGGACCATTGGAAAACCTGCAAGGAGAACTGGACAGCTGTTTCGTCTTAGTTTGGGACTGTTCATAAGTACGCACCTACCGAAAGGATTCGAACCCAGAACCTACTAGTTACAAGGTCAGCTAGCTCTTGGACAATTAAGCCACTGGGACCCGATCAAATGGCCCATGAATTCTAACTTCTGGTAATTTATGATATAGCGCAACGGCTTCGCAATGTCTTCTTCAATGAGTTACCGCCTGAATAGGACCAGCCGCTAGTGAGCATCAGATTAACTGATTACGTAGGACTATTCCTAATATAGTTATTACGCATCCACTCCAATTTGCTTTATTACCAACTGACAATAACCTTTGACTTCTGTTGTCAGTCTGCATTGTATGCGTGTCTAAACGCTCTAAATAACTGTACAGCCTTGGAGTGAAGTGGCAAAAAGAGATCTCCCTGCTGACTCATGTGTTCATAATCACGAATCGGTAGAAGTTGAAATTAATTCATGGAGCGTTGCATCGGGTCCCAGTGTCTGAATGTTTTATAAGCTTGCCTTGTAGCCAAGAAGCACTGAGTTGAAATAATCCTGGTGGGTGCGTACTGTGGACAGTACCGAAATAAGACGAAACGGCTGTCCAGTACCTTCTGGTTTTCCACTTGTTCTCTAGCTGATGTCAGCTCATGATCAACCTGAAACAAATCAGACTCCTACAAACTAACTTTTGATCAATAAGCATCAGAATTCCCGGTAGTCTCAAGCCTACGAAAACCTTCGAAGTAAGATGACGTTATTTGATACTGCGAATTCGGTATTTATGACTCTCTTGAAGTTTATTACTTTGTTCATTAACTCACCATAATTATCTACATACACAGGAATAAAGCACATATCACTTAAATAAGTTACAGAATACAAGTTACCTGCTCTAACATGACAATTCAAAAGTCATGTGAGTGGTGGGTCAAATTGTTACAATGAAGGTGTGCACACAAATGGTATCAATGCTACTAACCACGTCAACATCGAAATTGTCTGACTAACAGATGAAGTCGAAACAGTGTCAGTGAACAAAACAAAAATGAAATCATACCAATATCTTAAAACTCGAAATATTCGAGAGTTAACATAAACCACTATGATAGTGAAAATAATAATATTAATAACGCAAATTCTATATTGCAATTACAAAAAAAACACAAAATGAAACACGGACAACAATCCAAAAGTATACAACTTACATCACCAGACGCTAAGGCTTTTGAAGGCACAAATAATTCTGGATAAATATTATTTAAATACCATTCGAATGAATGACATTTCAAATTTTCACGTAAGGCCTTACGTTCTGAAATATCACCATAATCGACCTGACGGGAAAAAGTACAAATGAAATAGAAGAGTGATAACAGAGGAATATCACTTATCTCTTTTCAAACTTTAGCAATTTACATTAGTAAAACTTTTCATCTTCCTAGGCGTGAACACACTCCAACCAAGTTAGATTACGAACTGACATCAATTATAAACTATTGAAAGCTAAGCAGTACTGGAAAGTCGGTTCACCCAAGCTTCATGCTCTCCACCAGCACGCGCTCATAATCCCGTCAGGAGTCGAACCTAGGAACTTCACGTCACTAATCTAGTCAGCTGGTTAACCACCCAGTAGGATGGAGTTCAATGGCCCATGTATTCTGGTTTCTCCCAATTCGCGATACATTGTACCTTCACAAGCCAATCTCATCCGAGAGTGTTATTCCCCACAAACAAATTGGCAGATATCACTGCCTATCATTTCTCACTAGAACTCTAGGCACCTTCAGCCTGAAGTCAGTCACCAGTGGGCATTGGATTAATCATTAAGTGTTGATTTGCAAGGATTTCTTCGGTTTCAAGTTAGATCCCGAACCAACACCTGCACACATTTTATTGCATTTCAACAGCTTAACAATATTTCACAAGGTGTGGGACAATTGTACATCAAATACCCAACTCTTCTACACATTAGTAATCGTGGAACTCGATAGACGCGTCACTTCATTCATTATTCACACGTTATGAAATTACTTAAAAAAGCCTTCAGAGTGTTAGAGAAGTCGAACCAAACTATTCCAGTTGCACAGTGCACTGAAGTTCTCAGTATTCACCATTGAAAGGTCACAAACTGAGACGTAACAGATGTCCTGTACACCATGGATTTCAATGATCGCCAACTGGTAATAGTTATATGTTGTAATTGCAATGGTTTCTTGTAAGCTGTCTGACATTCACTAATTTGAATATAGTCATATTCACTAACATCAAAACAGGCTTCCATCTTAATCTGCTCTAATAATATTTCACAGGAGTTTAAACACGTACAACCAAATACTTCATCAGATGTGATTTAGCAGCCAATTTATTTACATAAATTAAAACACCCGCGAAAACAAAACTACACCTATAAAATAAAAAACACTAACTAAAGGAAGAATAACTTACACTTTTAAAACCAATACGTGCATAATAAAATCGTTTATAATCATCAAGCCAAACTTCAGCCAATCGAAGCAAATTCCTCTTCAAAGGATCTTTCACTTTAACATCCCATTTGTATGGTGAACGACCACGGAATATGTGCCCCACATAACTGCAGACACTAGTTTCCAAAATCCCACCACACATCCAAATCTGAATTTAAGAGGAAGAAAGATTACAAAACAAGTATGACAAGCAACTTGATACATATTTAGTTAAATGAAATAAAGGCTTATTATGCAATGAAATATAAAAGAAAAGTAAAGCCCCTTCTAACAAAATTTGTTGTATTCTAATAGAGTTTTTACTCAACATTATGTGAACAATTAGATCAATCACTAACTATTTCATTGTTTCACATCTCACACACCAGACATAGAACTAAACAATGCACTTTGGATCAATTGAACACGACGATGAATCTTGAAGTTCATTTTCACAAGGCGACTCACACAACTAATCGACTGACTGACTGATTGGGTTTCAACACAGAACTTTACACAGACGTGGAGCAGTTGAACTTATCACACTGCACACAGCACATAAAGTTAGAGAAGAGAACAATTCAAAAGAACCATAATATATGGAAGAAAGAATAGTAACATGGGAAAACATGAGGAATTAATGTTTCTGGGAGATTACAGAGAGTGGATGCATTTGCGCCATTGAGAACAATTTTGAGCAATATCACAAACACTCTCGATCCATTGGTTCTTAGAATCCCGAGAAGCCCAAATAAGCAATCTACCACTCTTTACGTTGCTGACTGGCTGGCGGGTTCAAACCAACTGTCGAAGAATTCATCGACTGATGCGAGACAGTTGATTTGACCACTTCTAAATATTTTCCACCACAAACCAATGTCAACTTAAGCAGTTATTAACACAGGCGGAAATTCATATTGACGATGATCTACGATTTGCTAGAAATCCTTCTAACATACAAAGATTTGAAAATTCTCACTTTTGTTAAATTACCCATAAAAATAGTCAATAAATCTTAGTACACATCATTTTGTAGTTAACTGATATAGACTCGAGGCCATCTAAAGGACCAAATCCAACCACTCTAAAAGCTTATGTTTCCTCCCCTTAGGCGTAGCCGAAGCACTAGTCATACATGAACAGAAACCTAAATTATATACGTTTTGTTAAACCCCTCACTGAACCTTGATCACAGTGATGCTCTGTTTTTATTCTATTCTATTCTGCTTTACCACTTGAATTCATTCCACTTCTATTCGTCTTCATCGTTATCATCGTCGTACCTTTAATTTATTTCTGAGACAACACTTGACCTACCACCTTTAAAATCTTATTACCGATTCACTTATTTAATAATATTTGGAAAGTTTTGTAATTCATCCACTTCAACTCCACTCTCTTAATACATCACTTTAATTATCTTTATTCTTATCATATGTTCAATATTGACTGAGCAATTTCTAGTACCACTTATTGCCTTTCTCCGTAATATAAATACGACTGTACAGCTTGAAAATGAAGTCGTTGAGAAGAGATATTTCTTCGCTGAACAAAAACTGTCTTTTACCTTAAGGCTAGACGTGACTAAAACTAATTTTGATGATTTCGTGTTTCAAAAGTTTATACACTTAGGCAAGTCACGGTCTCCAGATGGAGAACACTTTTGTGACGTATAGTTGACATGATGCACACCTGCATTTAGCGATGACAACTCAACTATAACATCCAATATCCCATCCATCGAACAGTTCGTGTATAGAATTCTATCTCACAAATTGTGAACTGCAACTTAAAATCCACACGTTTAGAAAATGAACACAAAATGCCGCCGAGAAATCCGACACTTTACAAAACATGATGTGTATCGGTGGTTCAGTCATAGGAATACTCGTCAAACACGCATGTGATCCAAGGTTCACTCCCCCCCCTCGGCGCACTCCAAAACCCAGACTAGTCGATAGTAAGCCTTTTAAAGAGCGAAGGTTGAGCGTGATACTGGCAACACCAACACACGGAGAAATAAACACCAGTGCTAATGCAACTTCAAAGCCGATGCTTGTAGCCTTATGACTCATTCAGAAGGCAATGGAATGGAATAAATTTCTAAATTTACGAAACATGATGACTGTATGCATCAACTTGCACTAAATGTCACCTCTCCTCCCTCATGTCTGTTGTAAACTAACTGAAAACTAATAAAAGCACAACAAATCAGGAAAATTCCCCACTGCCCCATACAAAAGAATAATAAAATAAAATGAAAACAAAATGACAGTGAAAAATTAGAGAGATGAAGAAATCTAGGACAAGCATGAGAAATTAATCCAAGCAATGATCCCGTTATAATTTGGTTTGACAAAGTCATAATACAGGGGAAAGAAGACAGAAGAAAACCAATAAAAGAAGAAGAGGGCAAATATTCAACCAAAGTAAAAGTTGTCACGCAAAATAAGAAGGAGGTTTTACTACTTGACTATCCTATGGACAAGAATACAGAAAAAGTCTACTGTCGTTGAATTCTAATATCATCGTAAGGATTAAGTCTTTTCTACTTTTCTGCCTTTTTTCCACACACCCATATAACAAGAACAGAGAGGGAGAGAGAGAGAGAAAAAAGATGCATATCTGTCAAAGTGAAAATCTTACTTCTTGAACACATGAATAATTACGTCAGAAATGAAGAAGACTATATTAGACAGGCCATCTTAATGAATAGATCAATAACTACTACAGCTACTATTACTACTGGGGAAAATGCGTACAACACAATCGGTCAATACACAGTCAACTTATCTTAGTTGGCAAACTTTTCGGGAGTAGTCATTATAACCATGGAAGTGTGTTAAGCTGTTAAGTAGGAAGAGGATAACGAAACTCTTCTATTGCCGTCAATCCATTGCAGTGAGTGAGATTCTGTCTACCAGTTAATATCACTAGTGAAATTAATCTGTCACTGTGTTGTACCTTCGCGGACAACATATACCATACAGCCAAACAACATCATTATGATATGTTCTACAAAATGTATCATATTAAATATAACCATACAAATTTGAGAATTAGTTCCTATTTCCCATTATCGTTTGCTATCCGACACACGTTTACAGATGATTCAAAAAAGCAAAGCCCTATTAATTAACGTCTCCCACTACTCTACTAAGTTAGATCACAGGACTGCTACTTTAGCGCATCTTATTGTACGGTTATGCTACAGCTGCACTCATCAGAGAAGAAGGACCTACTAATCTGGATTCTGAAAAGTTTCTGTGCTCCGATGATCTAAGTAAACCCAACTTACAATTGTATCCTAATACATCGCATGGTATTAGATAAACTAAATTATTTCGCTCTACAGGCTTTGTAGGATTCTCTTGTCGACAACGCTTATTTCTAAGTAATTCTGTAATGGATTCTATGTACAATTTTATTCCTTCTCTTTTCTGAGACCCACAAAAAGTTTTTGAAGGCCATTACTTATATAGCAACGCTTTGAATGTTTAAAATGCTCACCTCCGTCTACTACCATTGTTAAGCAGTACATAAAAGAGGGGCAAAGAGAAACTGTGACATAGATACTGATAATGTACACACTAATGTATCACTAAGATGTGGGAATTCAAAACAATGAGTACCATTGCCAATCAAGGAGGGAAGATACCAAAACATGAATTTCTGTTTACCTCATCACAACAAAGAATACGAATAATGAAGACAAAAGAATTCACACACCTCCCCTCCTCCCAAAACAACCTCCATAAAAGATGAAGAGCTTAAATAAACTCACAAAGAATCTGTACAATCACCATGAGTACATGTGCTCATGACAGCAAGGAAGAAGAAAGAACAAAGAAATTAAGGGGAATAGACAAAAGAACATGAATTTTTAAAAAATTATTAAAAAAAACAGGTATCAAAATGTCAGTGGTAGATTAGAGCAGATCACTTATGAAGACTCTTAAGTAATTCGATTTCATAGTCAGCGATATTAATAACGGATAAGTTGAACCAGCTCTGTTTCTAAGACATTGAGACCCACAACAACTTAAGTTCCAGAGGTACTATGGAATATAAAGATTTACTTATAAGTAGTAAACAAATTTTTAAATAAAATGATACTTAATAGACTTTCATCATAACAAACTTTTGACTGAATACTAACTCTAAATCTATCCATACGGAGTACATTAAACAAGGTGAACCAAACAAATGGCCGCACATTTAGATAGGCATAATTTCCATCAATGAACTAAGAATGATATTTTGTGTGATCAGTGAATATGTGCAACAAGTTAGTGTACACAAAATATACATTTAGATATATTCTAAGTACAAAGAATGCTTGACTTCCATAGTACTATTGTGGTGAGAGCTGTCTACTAGCCAAATTGGTAGACAGTAATTTACGTCAATATTTACGTTCCCAAGATTTGTCGCGACAAACAACCAATTGGAAGACTGTGTTTGTTTGTTTACATATCCATAGTAATGTACATGAAAACATATATAAATATGCGTTGATTTCCTTAATAAATGATCTGTTGCCTGACTCTTGCCTTCTGTCGTTACACTATAACTTCCAGAATGACAGTCTCACATAGAGATCTCGTCTTTGAACAATTTATTCATTGCATAAAATCTAGTTGAATATTATCTCAACAGATTTTAGATTCTCTGAACATATACCGAACGAGTCTGTGCATAACAGGAAGTAAACCTTTGAACAGTTAAATCATGAGAGACCTCAATTACATAGGATATCAAGTAGATACCTTAAATTCTTTCAAAATAATCAATAAATAATCAGCCTAAAGTCTCTCTTGAAGTTCACAGAGGCCATCGTTAACAAACAAACGGTTAGAACCTGCCTGACTTATGTGTTCAAAATGAGGCAGTGTAAAGTCCATCCATACCTTGATAACTCATTTAATTAATTACATCATATCTCATAAAATGTAATTATTGGTTTCCTTTTGCTTTCACGTTGTTACATCATCATGTACTAAGAGTCATGCTCCACATATGTCTGATGTCTGACTAACTCACGGTATAGTTTATACCTCATTTGTGTATTAAAAATTTTTAATGGCTTGTAATTTAGGTACCTCAATATCTTATTCCTGCCCTTGCCACACACAACTTTTTGTTGTATTCGATAAACTTACATCATATCACATACCTATATGGCGATATTTTGTACTTTAATAATTTAGTATTGCGATTCATCTATGCACCATGATCATTCATAATTATTGTTCCACGTTTTATCTCCAGTGAACTAGAGAATGTTAAAACTATTTTATATAACCAACTATTCACCTTCATTATTTAGCTTGTATACTGCTGACAAGATACTCAAGAAATGAGCAAAAGATGCGTTTTATCCTGCACCGTGTGTTGTTATTCAAATTAAAGATTTTTCTCTATTTATATATTTTACTTTGATTAGGTGTATTTGAAGATACATACTTCTCAAATAATAGTTGTATTCATTTCTCAAATAGACGATTATTCGTACAGGATCACATGAAGCTTGTACAACTTAATTATTATTTTATTCGTTTGCTTTCCAAGTGGAGCATATGGTTTCAATCTTTGAGCTTTGAAATTTCAGCAGTGGTGGTGATAATATTTGTTAAGAGTAGGGTGGGGGGTGTTGGTGACCTTGTGGAGTGTGCTTCATAAAAACGAAGTTTGCCTAGAAGTAGCTGAAATCGAAAGCAACATTTTTGTCAGTGGCTACAGAAGTAGAAGCGTTTCTTTTCCAAATCAGGATTAGGCTGACGCTGTGGTGAGGAAATAATCTCAAAGTGTGATCAGCAGAGAACCACTAAAATGTAGCGGGGAAAGACAAGAGACTTGGTAACGGACTTTCAGTTGAGGCAGAACACATCAATGAAACCTACACATTTTGGCCACATTTATCGTCAGCTACGTCAACGGATAATAAACTGTTCTAATCGACTGTTGATTTTCTATAGGTAAAACCTTGGGATTATTCCCTACCACACGCAAGCCAAATCCAGATTTCAGAAATAAACACTTCTACTTCTGGGGCCACTGATTTAAAATTTTGTTTCAATTTTGCCTACTCCCTATCAATCTGTCTAAAATATACTGCTGATAAATCTTGTCAGTAGTACACGCCACAACCTCACATCCCACCTCCTCTCTTTACCTCCTTCACCATCGACTAGGCCAGGTTTTGGTATGCATTGGCCAGGCATCGAACCCTCGACTACGTGCTTGGTTGGCGAGCGTTCCACCGCTGAATCACAGACTAACAAAACCCGATTACGCAGAATTTATTCACCATATTCCTTCAACCATTGACTCAACACACACAGATATTTCTATGCTAAAAGCAACCACCATAGTAAATTCATTCAAATTATCGTGCTTCATCCAAGCAAACAAATAATAAAATCAGATACTGCTTACCTTGAATGACAACTCCAAATTCTCACCTCCCCATACTTCCATACCAGGATCATATTTACCAAGGTGATTAAAGTAATCTCGACTTATCGCGAACAAACCACCAGCCATAGTAGGCGTCCTGAAAAAAGTTGAAATACGAAAGGTGAAATGTAATCTACATTCCAACTGCCTAGAAGTAAACTGATCAGAAGTTAAGATAAGTAAACTAAAATACCTGACAAAAAATTATTATTCATTTATGCAGACTGTATGAAAGTATCACAGTGCAGCTAGATGAACACTTATTACTCCAGTATGATGTCGGTATGCATTCTCACAAAAACACAAATAACCAAGATTATAAGTACCACTATCGCCCATATCATCTATGCTAATCATATTCGATTGTTTGATCGGATCATGTGCAGTGTGAATAGTCGACGGTAGTGTTTGTGATTGCTACTATAGACCGACACTCGGAGACCACACACAATTGTGACAAGCATCAACATAAGCTGTATAACATTTCTGGCATACAATTTCAGAAGTATTTTCAAGATTGCACACAATAAAGTCAAGCATATATAGAAAGTTTTGCAAATAAATGCATACATAGCCCAAAGTGATTTCACCGATAAATAAAAATACAAGGAGTTCTGGATTAAGTGCCAATGCGCCAAACTCTTTTGTTTGAAGAATAATATAATAAACGGAAGGAATGAAAATAAAGCAGTGAGATGTGTCGTCTGTCTGTGTGGTTCACTGCGCGGATTACAGTGATTAAAGCACCCTGTCAAATCAACGAACAAGTGAAATGATGAGAGTGAATCAATGGAAACAACGGGCATGTTGAAGGATTGTTAATTATGCATCATAATAGTTGACCTAAATATTCGAAAAAGAAAACACAATGTATGATTCAAAAAGTATCACCTAGTGTAAATAACCTTCAAATTGACTATTTCTCTATGCATTACCGATATTTATTACTTTATCTAACTATATCATTTGAAGAGAACATTAGATAAATTATTATACTACATTCTGAGGACTTCACACTCTAAGGGAAGTGCCATTGGCAATAAAGCCACTATTATTATTATTATCACCTAAATGACCAACATCTCATCAGTTATAAGATTAATTGACATCGAGATGAATTTCCCTCAAAATCTAAATTAACAGCCGCGACCCACACAATGATTTGTTTGCAGAATGAGGACAAAAGTTGAACTCTGTATCTGTATCTGAATGAAGTAGCCACAACTGTAGTTCACCCAAAGAGAAGAGTTAGGACCTTTGATGAACACCTTCATCAGTAAGCACAAATACTACAGATTGAGCCTTTCGAATCCACACTAGAATCTACAATGACAATTCTCGCAAAGATGCAAAGAATCACCACACTGGTGAATTCTTTCATTACCATACTTGTGGTATGCTTTTTATTATTATATGTTGCTGTGACAAAATGAAGTTATACTAAGCAGATGACACTAGATTATTCTCTCTTTTTGTCAAGGCAATCCACATAAGCAAATCGTTCCATTCGCTACAATATGCCTACAAACACCGTTTCTCTTTCTCTCTACCGCTCTCTCTGACTATCTGTACACATAACGTATACATGAGGAAGTCTACAATGAATTATATACTAATAGTTTCGATCTATTATCCGAAATTAGTATTCGATTGAACGATTGCATCTACTGCATAATTGTCTAGTTATAAAAACTAAAATGGCAATAATTACTTCATCAAAAACTCATAATTATGCAAGACTATAAATACAACAATCTCCAGTGCAAACAAACAAATCAGTTTGTATGTGTTAATGTTTCAGAAATTAGGGTATATGACAGGAAAGAGAGGAAAATCCTCACCATGCACACAATTCATATATCGTGTGTGCGTGTGTGTATATATTATGATGAGAGGGAAAGTGAGGGATAAATATAGAAAAGGATACTTGACAAGTAATTTGTATAATCTCATGCAGTGCTCTATTATCTTCCTAGGCAAATTCACAAGTACACAACGAGTTAGATCAGATACAACTAAACTCAGTGCTTCATAAGAACTGTGTACAACAGTTTGGTGATGGTACCAAGGACGCAGAGTATGGCCAACATTTACATATGCATTTTTTAAAAGAGATGACTGTATCATTGTTTTACTTAGCCAAATGATAGAGAGAGGGGGATAGAAAAATATACCAGACTATTCACGCGCATAATAAATTAACCATCGACGAGGGAATATGTAAAACACTAGTTAAAATGGAATAGGGCAAAATGTCACAAGAAAATAATTAAGTAAAACGTAGAGAAATGAATGTGTGAAAAAATAATAACAAATGCATTGGAAATATCTATAGACAACGAGAAACATAGTCACTGTGATGCCTGTAGGAATTGTTCAGTCAATAATATCTTAATCGTGCATCGGTGGTCCAGTGGTAGAATGCTCACTACCCTCTCATCACGCGGTCCATAGTTGATTCCCGGCCGATGCGCACTCCGAAACCTCAACTAACCAGGTAGTAAACCCGGGGTAAAGGCGGAAGCTAAGGCTTAAGACTAGCACAAGCCCACTCCACGTAAACACACACCACTCCTAGTGAAACCTCAAATCTCAAGTATGAAGCCCTGTGCTCAACTCGGAACGTCAATGAATTAAAAAAAATCATAGTCATATGAACATAAGATGCTAGAACACTGATGAAGTACAGTCAGAATAATTTGTTAACACACGCACACAGAGATAATGCACATCGCTTAGTGAAGAACACTATACAGCACGGTATTACAAAACAAACGATAAAGACGAAACAACTTTTTTAGTCATTTATAAATACACCAAAACCAACTCATTCCACTGCAGGTCTAAGTAAAAACAAAACAAACATAACTGATGTGAAGATGACAAAAGGAAGAGTACAGGCCAACTGAAGGACAATAACGATAATACTATTTATACATTGCACACAACTATTGCAAGCAAATCATTCTACTTGTTTTGTAATGATATCGTAAAATGATGATTACTGTTCATCACGGGAAAAATTATATAGATATATAAACGTAGTACATTTTCTTCATTCCAGTACACACGCTCACATATAAAGAATACTTCAAGGTGATACACAATAAAAAAGTACCAATAATAGTACTGGTAGTCGGAGTAATGGAAGCACGTAGAAATAAGCTTATAATTAATTGCATTACTCTTACATTAAAAGTGTAAAAGTATTATGAAAAGCACCACAAAATGAGAATACAAAGACAACAACAAGAAGGAGAAGAAAACAGAATTTTAGAGAAGAAAACTGCTGACACTAAAGACAACAAGATAATAACGATAATCCTGAAAACTAACTTGTTAATTATGAACTCATTAGTAAATTGAATAAGGACACATACTTACACTAAAAGTATGTTTATTTTTTTTAAATATGAAGAAACTGAATGTAGCCAAATGAAGAGCAATCGATATTATGTTTATAATTTATCTACTTCACCTTACAAGTAGAAACAGTTATCTTATTTTAAAATATACAAGCACACGCCTTGACCTATATGGCGTATGCGTTACACAGGAATTCACATTAAATTCTTAAGAAACCATAACAGCAATGCAAAAAGAGAAAAGAAATGAGACTTTAAGCAAGTCATTATGCAAATGTAGATTTTCATAATTAATGTGATCATCTCATCGCTATTGCGTTATCGCCGTTATTAGTATGGTGAATACAGAATAAACCGATAAACTAGAAAGTACATATTAACTGACCAGAATTTGAGTAGTCTCAACCTATACGGATCTGTGAACTTAGTCTACGCAGCTGCATAGTTAGTCAGCTTCGTCCTCCACCGGTAGAAAGATCTCCCACAGTTAACATCACTTCGGTCTGGCTAATGACACTGTTGTTTGACCTGAGTAGTTTCTAACTATAACACCTAATTTATTGAATAGCATTTCATACCGACATCTTAACTCCTACTAGTATTATGACTATTATAATAGGAACAATGGTAAAATTCTTCTATAAACTAACACTTTCTTTCAGAATACCAATGGCTCACTAGTCTTATCATTGTCATCAGAAGAAAAGAAAATACAAAAGAAGAAGAATTTTTAAGCAAATAGTATCTGTACTAAAATCAATAATACAAACAACATTAATCTAAATAATTATATGTATAAATATATGCGCATTATGTGGAGGGGTAGAGCAATATTCACACATGCTGTGATGTGCTAGACAATGAGGCACAATTATTTTGTGAAGTATGCTTAGCTTAAAGCTGACTACATGTACCTATGACTCACTAACATCAATCTGACTATAAACAATACACTAATTTACATTTGACCTGCTGCAGTGTATGACGATATTAAGCTTCACAATCATTTTCAAATAATAAAGCTTGTTTCATTATTCGGATCAACAGTGTACAGAAATATTTCTGATTATACACACAAAAAACCCAGTTTGATGCATGAAAGCGAGTCATAATATATGAATGAACTGACTTTGTCGCTGTACATGTTAAAGAATTTATACTAGAAATAAAGTGCCGTTTTGTCATTACTAATCATTTTAAAAAGCTGAAACGTTGAGTATCTAGTAGAAAAGTTAATGCTCACTAAATCCAGATTTTGACCACATAAACTACCTGGTACTATCGAGGGGGGCGGGCGAAGACTTAAGTCATCCTCTCGAAATGCTTTCATGGGAACACGTGTTCATAACCTTTGCCACGAAAGTCCTATTCTCCGCCTTAATGGAGCGAGATGCTCTTCACAAAAATAGAAGGGTGAATAAATTTGTCTGACGCTTACAACCAGACTGGTGGACAAACTGGTCTACCTAGGGGAGATAAAGTACCCTCATTCTAAACCTATAGTTTACATAGGTTCCAGAAGTAAAAACGGATTGAGATACGTATTGAACTTGTTTCGGACACCGCCTACCACGCGAATATAGCTCCTGACACTGCTCCACCGCCATGTGGATCAAACTTCAGCTAAAAGACTCGGGGATGGCACCTTAAGATAACCGCATGCTTCTGTCTATGCGTCAGAGCAGCAACCCAAGCCTCGCACAAAATTATCATATTTTGTGTGACACACATC